CTTATATATATATATATATATATATATATATATATATATATAACACATATATTAACATATTGAAAATATGTAGTTTGCAACAATTAATGCAAATAAAACATCTTAAAGCTATGCTAATTAATTTCCATTCCAAAAAGCCTCGTTATTATTGCATTATGGTCTAAACATTGCATATTAGTGGGGATGTCACACTTAAAATAGGGGGCGCAAAGGGTTGTAAAAATGATTCCATGTTACACAGTAGAATCTTCTGAACAGAATTGTTGTTTTTTTTCGCATAGAAATTGGACAAAGTTGAGATTTTTAAGAATTTGTAAAAGTTTACGATTTTTTTTACCTTTTAATCGAAGCTGCTTTAGTATTGTAATTAGTTCTATGCGAATAGGGTAATTAGTCATGGCAACAAAAAAGACCATGTATCAACAATATCTGACATACATTTTATTGTAACTCTTAAAATTTTCATGCTACAATCTTCAAATTTCAGCATCTTAGAATAAAACAGTTTGCCACAAAGGTTTTTAATTCCATGTTTTTGTATACAAAAGGTAACACATTTTCGCTAATTAGGCTAATGACTAGATCTAGACATAATCACATGTTTTGGGGTAAGCTACAAATTGTGAACATCCTCAAACAATGCATTTTAAAAGGATAATTAATACCAAATATGCAAATTAGCCAACATCCATATACACATAAGGATACATGCCACTACCTTCCTACCTACCTAGTCCCATAGTACCATTTCTGAATATACATGTAATAAAAATTAATGGTCATCTTTTGCATGTTGACATTTGAAAAAAAAACCCTGTAATATTCATATTGTTAATTGATTAACTAACAATAATCAATTAATATGCTAATTGGCCTTTTACAATATGATTATTAGTCTTTTTAATTGCATTTTCACACTACATGTTGTACCTACCTTAGTACAATTTCAATGTTTGCTAGTTACATGTAGAGCTAGATTTACTTAAAGAATGTGAAATGAAATCTTTAGAATCTTTATCCACATTCTTTATCCACTTCAGTCTCGTATTTTCTCTGAGGCCAGTCTTCTTGACAAAGTTAAACAACTCCAAACCTGGCTCGTTTGTGAATCTGCCATGCCAGTTCCAAGGCAATAAGACTCAATCCTGCATTTCTGCACAGCTCTCCTGCATATGTCTTCTCTACATCCACTAGAATAAAATATGGATAGAATTAGCATATGTGAGGTCCTCCCCCGATTGTGATCTAGCCCTATACTCTGATTGATATGTTTTCCTACAAAGTTGTGTTATACATGCCCACTGTTGTTACGCCTCAATGACACAGTTATTTCGGGAGTCGACCTTACAACCACTGTACCTCGCTTGATAGAGGCCAGGTGTTATTGTTCAGGTGAACTGACAGCCATCCGCGCCAGAATGAGACCGTTTGTAACCTGCAATTACTCGCAGCAAGGTTTGGTAGTCGCTAGTATTGCACCGGAGATCCAACTATGTTATGATTGTAAGACGAGTGGCAGGCGATACCAGAAGGTAATGTTATCTCCGTACTTGGTTTGGCCCATATGTCGATCGTTTTCCATAAACAAGCTAGGTGTATCAAAGGTATCGAAGATTGGAACGTTATATTTGGAGGGTTGTACAGCGTCGGAACCTGGTTCACCAAAAGGACGTGAACCCGGGGACGTTGACCTAAAAGGCTAACAAATAATCTCATGGTGGAGGCCAATTGCAAGGAACGTGCTTTTACTCCACAACCCGGCACGCTATATCCATATCTCAGCGGAAAGCTTTCAAACATTTGATTGCTGGTATCCAAACTGAAATACTTTGACCAATCCGTTCTCGAATTTATAATACGAAAGGACAAATTTGGGAATGGGAGGAACCCAAAGTCTTCGAAAATAAAAAGAGAAAAACTGTAAGAAACGAGAGGGAAAGCGGTTTCCGCGGAGTCCGAAGCACGGGGAACCCTTAGCATCTTGGCGAACACCTCGGACGCCGAACTTTACTCCGAGGGCCGGCTTACGCTTAAAAGCTTCCCCGGGCACTCCACGGGGCTGCGAGGGGAGTTTCCCATCCCTGTCACTCATCCCTCACCCACTGTGAACTACAGAGTATGAGTCAATAAACCATCCGAAAGAAATTTGGAGGCTCTTGTCTTACTCTCGGAACCATCACAGCTATAGAGGACAGTCCGGGGACCTTTGACTCGGATCCTGACCCCTTACATCTATACATCCAGTCTCTTAGTATACTGGCGTGAAAGATTTTTGGCAGCGGGCATTAGGGCTTCTTCCCACAAAAAAAATCTATATCTTGTGAACGACTGGCACCCAGGCTACCAAATAGTTGGGAAAATTATGATAAAACTAGAAAGGCCGACATTTGCTTGAGAGCAAATGCAGCAGATGGCTTCACCCTATCCCCCATACCGAAAATGGATCTATCCTACGATGGCTGCCAATAGTCTACACCCCCATGCAGAAATAGCCAAAAAGCCCTATTTTACATAAATTTAAAGTGGTGTATGTCAAAATCGTGAATGCCATTCTTTGGACATGTGTCTAAGGTATTCCCATACCAAATTTCAGGTCATTCGGATTTAATATTAGGGCACAGGAGCCAAAAATGTACATTTTTGGTCCGAAAATAGCAAAAAGCCCTATTTTACACAATTTTAAAGTGGTATATGTCAAAAGCGTGAATGGCATTCTTTGGACACGTGTCCAAGGTATCCCCATGCCGAATTTCAGGTTATTCAGATTCAATATTAGGGCACAGGAGCCAAAAATGTACATTTTGGGTCCGAAAATAGACCAAAAAGCCTTATTTTTCCCAAATTTTAAAGTGGTGTATGTCAAAAGCTTAAATGAGTTTTTGTAGACATATGTCCAAGGTATTCCCATACCAAATTTCAGGTCATTCGGATTTAATACTGGGAACCAGATCTCAAAATGTATATTTTTTGCCTGAAAATGGCCAAAAAACCAAATAAAACAATTTTTCAAAAAAATGAAAAAAAACGCGTCGGGGTATTTGCCCACTCTACCTTCATGCCAAATTTCGTGTTATTTGGCCGGAAAATGGCAGAGATGAATCCATTTAAAGAAATGGCAGGAGAAGAAGAAGAAACATGAGGGAACACAATATGTCTTCACCACTTTGTGGTGAAGCCATAATGAAATGTAGCTTATACACGTGTAGTTGCAAAGGCAAACATTCTCCAAAATTGAGTTGATATATATGCCATGTATATCGA